AGCAGTGAGTCTGCCCTCAGGGGGGTTGAAGCTATCGTGTCCAAACCGGGGTTGAGTACTGTGTTCCAGTCGCCTGTCAAAATTAAGTTTTCCGTATCTGGAATCACGGCTGGTAGATCTGCAAGAAAGGCTAACCTTTCTGGGTAGGATACCGGGGCATATATTGTCATAATCGCCCAATCTTCATTGTCAACCTGGAGCAATTAGACGGTTCCCTTTCCCGGTGAGTTGAACTTGCATGCAGTTTAGGGCCAGATCCCACTGGCGAAGAGGTTTGGAATGAGTGTCTGAATCTGGACGTGTTTGTGGCGAGGTGCAGAAAACTGTGATTGATCTGCTTTTCTGCATCTCTGCGTGGAACACGTCCAGATTCAGACACTTATTCCAATCGTCCTTGCCAGTGGGATCTGGCCCTTAGTTCCTCTGCTTAACCAGTGACAGAAAAGGGTTTTTGTTTTGTCGCTTTTTTTAACTTTTTGACGTTTGGACCGTTTCTCGACTTATGTGTGTTATGATGTTATCCTTCGTTGGGCCGGGGCCACCGTAATCTTCTTTGTCTGTTATCGTTCTAATTTTTTAACGGATGTCCGGAGGGACAGTGAAAGAAAAAGGTTATTCAGAGACAAAGAAAAGATTACTGTTATGATCCTGGTCGTTCCCAAAGTGCAATTCACAACGAAAGACAATGCCACCCAACTGCGAAAGAAATGAACGCACTTGCAAAGAGATAGAGACCAAAGAAGAGAGAAAGAAGAAGAAGAAGAAGAAGAAGATGTACACCAGCAAGACCAATGAGAAATCCCCCTTCTCTCTCCACCTTCCTCCTCCTCCTTCACTTCGCCAATCTTATTCTTCTTCCAATAATAATGATAACCATGAATGAATGAACCAGAATCAATATTCAAAGTTCCCTCTTACTGCTGACACAACCATAGGTACACCATAGCTATGGCTTCCCCCCTTCTTCCACCTCTCACATGCCTAGGCTGTGGCGGACTACTGAGGGTTCTGCCCTCCTGTGCAAAGGACAACGGAAAGCAGCTATGTCGCTGCACTCCTGTCCAAAGGACAACCCAAAGCAGCTATGCCGCATCTGACTAAGCCGCCATGCCTGACTCTGCCTCGAGCCTCCTTGGTGCGGCACTACCCCAACTGGGGGCTTCCAGATGCAGCGCCCAACAAGGTGATGAAGATGGTGTCCACCATAGCCAGGTAGGTACCTCGCCACTCTCCTCCTTCGCCCCCTTCTTCCTCCTCCTCAAGCTGGGCTGCTCGCCATAGCCAGGCTGAGCGCCCAGCTGCTCTTCTCCTCCAGGCAGCGCTGTACAAGTCCAGCGCTTGGCTCCAGCAGCATGTCGCCAATCCTTGCATACCGCAAATGAGGAGGAGCTGCTTGCTCCTCCGGAAGATATAGCGGCCTACTGGCCTCCTGGGCGGTGACTTCCTAGGCCAAGCGGCCTCCCAGCAACCAGTACCTCCTCCCTTTCGGAGGGAAACATCATTGCAGGCTCTGCTATCGTCCGGACAGGCCCTAGACTCAGGCTACTTGGACTGGTACCGGCCTACCTCTAGCCTACCACTACTGGGCCTCTAAAAATGCCAACTTTTTGTCTTCTTCTGCTCGGCCTCCAGTACCCGACACTTCTACCACTACTTGAGTGGTACCGGACTACCTGCTACTTGAGTGTTTTTCCCCGCTGCTCTAAGTGTCGCGGGCCTACCCCCGGTACTTGAGCGTTTTCCCCGCTGCAACCCTCAAAGTCACGGCCACAGGTAAGTACCAGCCCTGCGGGGCCTTTCAACCAGCAAGTACCCTTGCGGGGCAGACACACACTCGGCCGACAAGCACTCAGACAGGCACACAAACCAGCAGGCATGCACACACACACACAGACTTGGAAACCACAGCAGAATGCGGGAATCTCAGCAACGCATTCATTCCAGCGGCAAATCCCAGAAATCAGCAGTGTTCTCAGTCTGTGTTTTGGCGGGTCATTACATTACCATGGCCGCTGCGAAAGGATGACACGCAAAAAATCGAGAAATGGTGAAAAAAAAAAAAAAAAAAAAAAAGGTTTATCCAGTGAATCATGGGCTGGACTACAGTCGATGATCGATCCTTCTGGCGAACGTAATCAACGCTGTCAGGATTGTCCCGGCCGTAACACAGGGAAGTGTCAAGAGTGAGTCATTCATGTAATTTTTTTCCGATTTGCCGGTGGGATAGGAACCGTACTCATGCTCCCCAGAATGGATATAGAGCTGGGACCGAAAGGACCTGCCTTTTTTTTTTCTTTTTTTTTTTTCTAATCCAGGGGGAAAAACTTTATCCAGTGAAAAAAAAAAAAAAAAAAAGGTGCTCGTAAAAGAAAACCACAAAGGCCATCGACTGCAACAGGTTGACCCTTCTTGACCACAGTCAGTGCAGCCCTTCTTGTTTCTGAGTGTTTCTCACCCATGCTGGCTACCGTCTTCCCCCGAACACAACGCACCCTTATTTTGGCTGTATCTGGCCGGAAATATAGCTTGTATACATTCATTTTTAGGGTGCGTTATGTTCGGGGGAAGACGGTAGTAGCTACCACTATGGGAGGATGCTCCGCACTCTGCGGATTTCCCACAGCTCTGGAGCTTCAGACAATTTAATGTATTCATAATGTGGTGGCATGTACCCATCTTCTCGCTGTAGATATGAGAATGCAGCCATCCATAGACCCTTCTTCCCCATACCTCAATTTTCTCCTGTCATCTATACGGTCTATACCCCTTTTTTCTGTCCTATCAGGAAACCCATTTTAGGAATTTTGAGCTTTGTAAAATGCAGCGAGTCGTGGCTGCTCATATCACTGCCACAAGCCAACCTGTCCTCGGGAAAAAAAAAAAAAAAAAAAGGAAGAAGAAGAAGAAGAAGGAGATCTCGATTTGCGATTTTGGAGCAATCATTTTTTTTTCATTGCCTGTCCTGCCTGATTTATCAAGCTCCCGTATTGTTACTGGAAGAGAGGTTGTTGTTAAACTTTTAGAAAAAATGTGGACTGTGACCTGTGGCTCAGTGGTTAGGGTACCGGTTGTCAACGCGCATTGCGGTATGAGGTTGCAGGTTCGAAACTCCACCTCCGCGCAGCGACACCGGTAGGCGTTCACGTAACGCATGGTCACTTGCACACTCCCCTGGGCCGACGCGTGGTACTATTTACAGACAGTGCCTGCGCACCACCCAGGGGCCAATCTTTTTTTTTTTTTTTTCAATCCATGGGTGTTGTATGCTGGTCTAAACTTTTTTTTTTTTTTTTTTTTTCAATCCATGGGTGTTGTATGCTGGTCTAGACTTCACGTTGGTTGCTTGCTGTTGTTGGATTTGGTCGCTCTGATGATCTCCCCCGGCCTAGACATTTCACACATTATATCCCCTTCCTGCGGTAGTGCATGTGGTAGAACCCTCCAGTTTCATACTGTAGGTCACAGGTTTCGAGTCCGGTTCCGGACTTTTGGGGGCCCCTGTCCAGATAGGCCCTTCTCTACCACACACACACATGAGATACTATCCCAGATATGATCTACAGGCACAACCATGATACACAGTCTGTCACATACCATACACACACATAGATCAAGGCACACACACATGTACTAGTGGAGGTGAGGAGAGCACCTCTCACCGGTACCCACTTCACAGATGCTCCATGGTGGGGAGCAGCGTCTGCCATGTGAAATCGGGTCCACACACACGTACTAACATACACATACCTGAGATACAGAGTACACACACACATATACAACCATAGGGCTGGGAGGAGGTCATGATCAACTGATAATGATGATAGACTTCTCGATGACAAGTACCCCCTTTGTGTGTGTGTGTGTGTGTGTGTGTGTGTGTGTGTGTGTGTGTGTGTGTGTGTGTCTGTGTGTGTGTGTGTGTGTTGATAATACACAAACAGGAATCCACGGACTTCACTTTCGCAGCATAGAATCCCTGCACAACTGCCAATGAGAACCATCGGCGCTCAACCCTTCTGTCCACTGCTCAGGCTAAGAGGAGTACTCGCTCCCAGTACCAGAATATATATCGAGCCTGTACTTCAGTAACTCAACTGAAAACGGCTAGTCCGCGATGAAAAACTTGGCACAGCCCAGCGTCCAAAGTTACGGTGTGTGTGTGTGTGTGTGTGTGTGTGTGTGTGTGTGTGTGTGTGTGTGTGTGTGAGAGAGAGAGAGAGAGAGAGAGAGAGAGAGAGAGAGAGAGA